TTAGCTGATTGGTACATGTTATTGTATAAAAAATATGGTGACATGTTTGAAGTATATTATGCAGGAGACCGTAAAATCGTATTAAGTAGACCAGATTTAATTGAAAATATTAATAGCACTTCAACAAAAACTAAATATCCTCATAGATTTGAAGATACAGAAGGACTTGTTGAATATGGAATTGGTGCAGGAGTAGGCAATAATAATGATCTCAATTCTTGGAGATTTAATCGTCAATTTTTTACTCAGGCTATGTTTTCATCAAAATTTGAAATTCTATCTGTTGAATGTATAAATGAACTATGGAAAGAAATAGAATCCTATTGGAATGAAGTTAATGAAAATAAAGAAATTGATCTTGTAGAATGGATGCATAGAGTTACACATGAAATTATTTTTAAAACTACAACTGGAGTAAAGCCTAATGCTGTTGCCGCTTATTATTATACCGTTTTTGCTCCTGAAAAGCTTAAGTCTTTAAATAAAAATGAACAAGAAAAATGGAAATATTATGAAGGTTTAGTCCAATCCATCCATACTTATATGAATGGTGTTGGTTATTTTTTCGTTTTAAATAAGTTTATTCGTGAAAATGTTCCATTTATTCGCGGAAAAGTAAAGACTTTATTAAAAAATAAGGAAAATCTTTTTAATAGAGTGGGTAAAATTGTCAAAGAAAGAAGAATTGAAATTGAGAATACACCATTAGATCAACCACTTCGTCATGATTTTTTAACAGCACATATAACCACAAATACCCCACGTGATATAAATATTATTAACCATAATGAAAAGAATATTTCGAGACCAATGACCGATAGTGAAATTATTGACAATATAGTTGAGGCAATTACCGCAGGAACTGAATCCGTAAGTAAATAAAATAATAATTTAACCTTTTTTTAAAAAAAAACCCCCCATATGAACTCATTTCTTGTTAAATTATAGGCGGCAAATATGGTTTGCTTTATCGTATATTATCTCGAACATAATCCTGAAGCAAAAAAACGATTACGGCAAGAATTCGATCAAGTTTTTGGAAATGACTTAACAAGACCTATAACATATAAAGATCTTGATGAATTAAACTATTGTGAAGCTGTTATTAAAGAAGTAAATCGTCATCGTCCTATAGCTTTTATTATCGGTCGCGTAAGTAATGAAAGTGATAACATTGGAGGATACGAATGGCCAAAAGGATCTGTATTTCACATGCATTTTGCCTCAATAATGAAAAATAAAAATTATTGGACGGATCCTGAAAAATTCAATCCTGACAGATTTTATAAAGTTGAAGAAAGTGAAGATAAATATTTACTTGAAAAGAAAAAAATGAAAAATACTTATGAAATGTTTGGAGGTGGAGTTAGAATGTGTCCTGGAAGAAAATTAGCAATGTTAGAATTAAAGTGTTTAATAACATTAATTTACAGAAATTGGGATATTGATTTGGCGGATATTAATGCACCACTTAATTATGGTGCTGATTTTATTACCATTTGTCGTGAATTAATGATTAAGATTAAACCAAGGAAATTCTAATTACCAATATTTATATACTTATTTACAATTATTTTCTTTGAGTCAACTATTTT